ACTGCTTTGCCTGAAGTTTTCCTTGCTTGCAGCTTTTCAGGAACACCCGAACCACCCTGCATTCTGCACCATTTCTAAGATTTAAGTGGAACAAGACTGTGGGAAGTGGAGGCAGCTTCCAAAACACCCCTGTCTAGCACAGACCCACTGAGATTCTGGTGTTTCCTCCTTACCTGCAGCTTGGAACGGCGAGGAGCAGCTGAGTGATCGAGTAACTGGAAAACAAGAAAGGGGTAAAAATACCAGAAAAATGTCAGAAACAGTTCTAGTCTCTGCAAGAAGGGTTAGGAAGGCAGATAGTGTCACTGTAAGACACCTGAGCACCTGTGGGGTGTTGGGTGGTTTACTCTGTGCAGAAACCTGGTACACTTTCTGTTAACTGTTAACTCAAGACTCCTCCCCATATGATGCAGGAAGGGACAAACAAGGCAACAATGTAATTAGGATTAAAAAGTAAAAAATGTCAGTCTTTTAAAGGTGAGAATGGGTATAGATTCAGACCCCAGCATCCATTCCAAACCCAACACTTCAACCAGAGGTTTACGGCCACCAATAAAATCTAAAGATACTCACAGGCCCCAGCAGCCCAGGCTGAGGACACGGGGAGGTTCCGCAGGGCAGAGCTCAGCATGGAACTCATTTTGGGATCTAGGGAAAGGCTGGGCTCAGTCCAAGCTGCTGTGTCCAGAACAATCCCAAGGGAAGTGTTCTGCCTGCCTCACACAGAGCCAGCAAGGTGAGGGGCACACACTGCAAGGGCAGCAGCAGCACAGGGAATCACCTCCCACCACGCTTGTGCCTGTGAATAAACACCGCCCTGTGAGCTTCTCAATTCCCTCCCAGGAACTGCTCCTCCACTTCCCACTGGAAAATTGTCCCAGTGCCCAGGCAGCCCTGCTGCCAGCAGCACCTCCTGACACCAGCAGTGTCCTTGGCACCCCTGCCCCTCGTTGGCCCCTGGTGCCAGCCTGAGGATCCTGCTGTGCATCCCCACAGCAAACACAGCAAGTTCGTCCCCAAAAACCCCTCTGAAGCTCTCCCAAATCGGGTTTCCCTATAAACAAACCCTCATCTGCAGTTTATTGCCGAGATGGCCCTCACAGCTCCAGGACTTTGCTTGATCCATGTCAACATTCATCTCCCTCTGTCACACTTTGTGGGTTCAAATCCTGGCACTTTCTCTCCCAAGCACAGAGTTTTGCCATGGAGGGGCACAGGAACACCCACAGTCCCAAACCCAGCCCTCTGCAGTTCCCCATAACTCAGCACAAGCTGCCAGTCACCCCCTTTGACACCTCCCAGCTGCAGCTCCACACCTGGAATGTGACCCTTCCCAGCCCCAGGCTCCTCCTGCCAACAAAAATCCCAAAACCAGACCTTTCCAAAGCATCCTGCTCCTCCTCCACCTCTGCCAACCTCCCTCCCCACACCTGACTGAAGTTTTCCCCTAAATTTTCCCTGCCCAGCTGACAGAAGTTTCTCCCAGGTGTAACCTCCTCCTCCCTCCCACACTGCACAGCCGTCTCCTCCCGGTGCACCCCCGTTCCTGCCCCTTCAAAACACCCCAAACTCCCTCATTTTTGGGAGCCAGTGCTCCCCTGGCACCCCAAGGGCTCAGCCCTGCCCACACAAATCGTCAAGACAAAGCTCCTTGCAGAGCCAGGATTTGCCTGGATTCCACAGCTCTGTGACCCTCACGGATCCCTTCCAACTCAGGATAATCCACAATTCCATGAACAGCCCCTGCTCCCTTCCTGTCCCCACACACCCCTGACACTTTCACACCGCAGCACCGCCACCTCCACCCCGGGACTCCCACCCCAAACACACCCGTGCTGCTCTCAGCCACCCCCAAACCCCCTCATCCACCCAGGGCCAACTCACGACCCCTGCTGTCCGCCCAGGACCAGCCCCTCAGTCCTTTCATCCATCCAGCACTGACCCCCTGGGACCTCCTCACCCTTTCCCAGCCCCCCTACCCCATCCATCAGGAATGAACCCACCAAAACTCCCCTCACTCCCATTCGGAACGAACTGCCCGACTCCCCAAACTTCCATCCAGAAAGAACCTCCAACTCCTGTCACGTCTCCCCATCCATCAGAACGAACCCCCCAACTTCCCTCACTTCCAACTGGAATGAACACCCAGACTCCTCTCACATCCAGAACGAACCCCTCAACTCCCCTCACTGCTCCCCGTCCATTCAGAATGATCCAGACTCGCCTCACTGCTCCTCGTCCATCCAAAAGGAAACCCCGAGTCCCCTCACGTCCACCCAGAACGAACCCCCCGCCTCCCCTCACTTCCATCGAGAACGAACCCCCCGACTCCCCTCACGTCCCCCCTCCATCTGCCCCCACCCCCGGCCTCCCTTCATCCCTCCCCGCCCGCTGAGGACAGACCCCCGACCCTCTGCTCCAGCCCGCACCGCGCCTGACCCCCACCCTCCTCCTCAGGACCGCCTCCCGACTGCTCCCACCCTCCCCGCGCTGCCGTCCGCGCAGGACGGAGCCCCTGACCGCCCCGTGCGCTCCCGTCCCTTTCCGTCCGCTCACCTCCGCCCTCACCGCGCTCTGCCGCCGCCGCCGCTCCTCCACCCAGCGAGGACCCCGCGCCCCGCCACCCTCGGGCTGCCCGCGTCCGCCTGACCCGCACCTCTCCCTCTACCGCCGCCCCGCAGCCCGTCCCCGGCCTCTCCCGCAATCCGCTGCGGCCCGGCGCGGGTCGCACCCACCCGAGGCTCGGCGGAGAGCGGAGCGGGAGGCGGCGGCGGGGCGGCGGCGGCGGCGAAGCGCGCGGGCAGCGCGGCGGGCAGCGCGGGCGGGGCGCGGCGGGCGGGGCGTGCGCCGTCAGGCCCCCCCCCCCACCGGCGGCCTCTCCTCCCTCATTCGACCTCGGCGAAGATGGCGGCGGCGGTGCGAGCCATCGGCAGCCTCGGCCGCCTCCCGGCCGCCGCCAGGGCCGGCCCGACGCGGCACACCCCGCCCCGCGGTGAGCCAGGGCACGGCGGGGAGCGGGAGCGGCCGCACTGCGGGGGCCCCCGCCTGAGGGGAGCACCGGGGGATGGGGGCAGTGGGGGGTGAGGGACGGGAGGTGCCTGAGGGGGTATTGAGGGAAGGGGAGCGCTGGCGGGCAGGGGGGCAGTGAAGGGGCAGTGAAGGCTCGGGGGACGCTAAAGGAGCGAGGATTGGCGTGGGATGGGGCTCACTGAGGAGAAAGTTTTGGGGGGACGGTGAGGAGGCGCTGCAGGGGTGGCGCTGAGGGGGCGAGGGGCAGGGGGGCACTGAGAGCCGCGCTAAGTGGGCGAGGGCCGGGGTGACATTGAGGGGATGAGGAACAGGGGGTCCCAGAGAGGATTTCATGGTGCTGGGGCAGGAGTTGGGGGTGTCTGGGGGTCACAAAGGGTTCTTGAGGTGATGGCTGTGAGGAGTTCGCAGGAAGGCTGTGAGGGCCGGGACTGGGACAGGGGATCCCCGGGGCAGCTGTGGGGTGGGAGGTGTCCCCATGTGTGTCTGTGCCCCGTGTGAGGGGTTTGTCCCCAGAGTCACCCAAGGGGATCCCTGGCAGGTCCCAAACATCCCCCACCCCGAGGTTTGTCCCCTCCGTGTCCTGTGGTCTCTGGGGGTTGTGTGCCCCCATGGGGACATCCTGCTGTGCCAGTCCTTGCAGAGGGACACGCTGTGGGAATCTCTGAGCAGTTCTTGGGGGGTCCCAGTGAGCTGGCACTGATGGGGGGACACACCCTCCAGTCAGATCCCTGCACATGAGCTGAGCCACGGGGAGAGAGTGTCCTTGTGCCCTGACACGTGTGCCTGTCCCCAGTGCCCCGAGTGGCTGCTTGGAAAGGAGAGGGTGTCCCCATGTCCTTGGCAGCCTGGGTGCTGTGGCTGCCCTCCAGGCAGGCAGGTGTATCCATGGGATCCCTGTCATCCCTGTGACCCCGTAGTCCCACTTGCCTGGGGGGAGGCTGTCTCCAGGTGCTCCATGATTTCTCAGCTGAGAGAATTGGGGATGTTCAGCCTTGGGAAAAGAATCATCCTCTGGGGAGAGCTCAGAGACTGGAGGGGCTCCAGGAGAGCTGCAGAGGGATTGGGGACAAGGAATGGAGGGACAGGACCCAGGGAATGGCTGTGTCCAGAGGGCAGGGCTGGGTGGGAGATTGGGAATTGGGAATTGTTCCCTGTGAGGGTAGGGAGGGGCCGGGCTGGAATTCCCAGAGCAGCTGGGGCTGCCCCTGGATAATCCCTGGCAGTGCCCAAGGCCAGGTTGGACACTGGGGTTTGGAGCCACCTGGAATAGTGGAAGGGGTCCCAGCCATGGCAGGGGTGGCACTGGATGAGCTTTAACATTCCTTCCCATCTAAACCATCCTGGGATTCAGTGATTCCATGATTTTGTGGGGGCATCTCCCTTGCCAGCTTGGGCAGGGCTGTGGCTCTCTCCTGCCTCTGCACGGATCTGGCTTGGTGCCTCCTGGCCACCGAGGCAGGGAGTCCCCAGGAGCCCTGGGAAGGCCGTAGGGCCTGGCTGGGAAGCTCTGGAAACCTCACATTTGAGCACTTTGAAGGGCCTCAGAGTCTGGTGTTGATGTTGACCCAAACTCCAGCTCTATTTCGTTTAAACCCAAACCTGAGCTCAGCAGTGCGGGGTTCAGAGCTGGACTCGGTGCTCTGAGAGCTCTTATCCAACAAGTCCATGGTTCTGGGATCATGGTGAGCAATTCCTGGTTCAGGGATTATGGTGAGCAATGCCTGGTTCTGGGATCATGGTGAGCAATCCCATGGTTCTGGGATCATGGTGAGCAATTCCTGGTTCTGGGATCATGGTGAACAATTCCTGGTTCTGGGATCAGGGTGAGCAATTCCTGGTTCTGGGATCATGGTGAGCAATCCTGGTTCTGGGATCATGGTGAGCAATTCCTGGTTCTGGGATCATGGTGAACAATCCCATGATTCTGGGATCCTGGTGAACAATTCCATGGTTCTGGGATCATGATGAACAATTCCTGGTTCTGGGATCATGGTGAGCAATTCCTGTTTCTGGGATCATGGTGAACAATCCCATGGTTCTGGGATCAGGGTGAGCAATTCCATGGTTCTGGGATCATGGTGGACAATTCCATGTTTCTGGGATCATAATGAACAATTCCTGGTTCTGGGATCATGGTGAGCAATTCCTGGTTCAGGGATTATGGTGAGCAATTCCTGGTTCTGGAATCATTGTTGTGGCGCGGCATGTGGCACAGCAGATCATGGTGAGCAATTCCTGGTTCTGGGATCATGGTGAGCAATTCCTGGTTCTGGGATCATGGTGAGCAATTCCTGGTTCTGGGATCATGGTGAACAATCCCATGGTTCTGGGATCGTGGTGAACAATCCCATGTTTCTGGGATCATAATGAACAATTCCTGGTTCTGGGATCATGGTGAACAATTCCTGGTTCTGGGATCGTGGTGAGCAATTCCTGGTTCTGGGATCATGGTGAGCAATTCCATGGCTCTGGGATCATGATGAGCAATTCCTGGTTCTGGGATCATGGTGAACAATCCCATGGTTCTGGGATCATGATGAACAATCCCACGTTTCTGGAATCATGGTGAGCAATCCCACAGTTCTGGGATCATGATGAACAATCCCATGTTTCTGGGATCATGGTGAGCAATCCCACGGTTCAGGGATCATGGTGAGCAATTCCTGGTTCTGGGATTATGGTGAACAATCCCACAGTTCTGGGATCATGATGAGCAATCCCATGTTTCCAGGATCATGGTGAGCAATCCCACGGTTCAGGGATCCTGGTGAGCAATTCCTGGTTCTGGGATCACAGCTGTGTTACGTGCAGCCTTGGAGCAGGTTTGTACGTGACAGGGAGCTGCAATCACTGAGGAGGAGACTTGTGGCAACTCCAGGGAGTTCTCAGGCTGCTGCTGGTTGGAATTCTTGTTCCAACTGGTGAAGCTCTCCACAACAAACAGCCCTGGAGCTGCTGTGAGGACACTACCACCGTTGCTAATGAATGAATACCCTCGTTCTGCCTTGCAAAGCTTGGGAAGTGCATGCAAAGCTCTCGGGGGCAGCCCAAAGGCAGGGAGCAGTCAGGAGGCAGGTGAGCTCCAGGGCTGGCTGTACCTGCTGGGCCACATCCGTGTGCCACCAGGTTCCCAGGGTGGCTTGGGAAGCTCAGTGTGCCGGGAGTTTCCCTTCTCACGGGTCACAGCTCCGTGCTCAGCTGGCAGGGACAGCTCAGGCAGCCTGAGCTCCGTGCTGCTGGGGCTTGGGCTGCTCCAGGACTGGAAAAAGGCTTTTCCCTGAGCCATGGAGGCAGTTCCCAGTTCAAGGCGTGTGCCACGTGCCGGTGAGTGGAAGGGTGGGAGCTGAGGTAGGAACAGGGAGAAGAGAAAGTGGGAAGGAGCAGGCTGGGCTGTGGGGTGGGTGTTTTCCATTCCCTGGTGCATCCAAAGTCCTGAGGGCACCTGGAGTGTTGGTGTCCTGGTGCTGGACAGTGTTTGAGCTGGAGTGAGCCTGGAACTGATTTTCAGGGCATTAACTCTGGAATCAGTGATGGGACACAGTGGAAGTCGGAATCTGGGCTTCTGCTTCCTGCAGCATTTTGGAGGATTTTTCTGGCTTCAGTCTTGGCACGTTCCCATGGCAATGCTGAAGGGATCAACACCTAAAGCAGATGTGCAAGGACCAGGACAAGGACTTTTGCTTCCTGGCAAAAGATGTTTTCCACAAATATTCTAGACTTAAAATAAACCACTGTCAGGCTACAGAAAGCTCACTCCAGTGTTAACCAGCTGGTGCACTTCTGACAGCGCCTCTCCCAAAAGAATTTATATTCAAGTGGAGTGATATTTGTGCAGCCATGCCCTTGATTTTTTTTTTTCCTACTTCATCTCTTCTGTTTTGTGAGAATGGAAAGGGAGAGAGGAATTGAAGGCTGAAGGTTTTCATGGAAGGAATCTGAGAACTGGTGTGGGAAAGGAAAGCCATGTAAAGAACAAAAAATCTGGAATCCCAAACTGGTTTGGCTGGGAGGGATCTTAAAGCTCATCTTGTTCCACACCCCTGCCACAGGCAGGGACACCTTCCCCTATCCCAGCTTGCTGCAAGGATTGAATGAATGAATTCAGGGAGACAGTTCAGTCCTTGCTTTCTCTTTAAAGAGGTTGCATGGCTTTTATTGGGTTAAAATACTGCTGGTAAAGGTGGTGTTCTGCTGGGCAGCATCTCCCACCAGAGGAATTGTTGTCAGCCCCCACCTGGTTTGTGGGAATTCAATGTTTGTGCTTGTTTGCAGGAGTACACAACAAAGTATTTAGGGAAATTATTGCTGGATGGAGCTATCACATGTGGGTATTAAATATTGCTGAGGAGCTTTGGAGTGGGAACTGGTTCACTCTTTGTTTATAAAATGCTGCTGTGGGCACATGACACACACACACACACACACGCACCCCAGAGCTGTTTGCTGGGACAGCCTGACTCTGAATTTCCATCCCCACGGCATCACACTGCATATCCTGGGCTCAGGAATGGGAGCAAAGGTCAGTCCCGACTGCCAGCACCCCAGACAAGGTGGAAAGGAGGCCAAAGTGCAGCCCTGAGCCCGTGTCACGGGGCTGTGGAGGGGGGAGACACCTCTTGGGGAGGCAGTTTATTCTCCTGGCCTTGGGTTATCCTCCCTGCTTGCTGCTGGGAATGGGAATGTTTCATTCCTGAGGGTTTTGTCAGTGCTGAGCAGAGCCCTCCCCTGCCTAATCGGCTGTGTGCTGGCTGGTAGATAGATCCGTGTGGAGGTAACACTTTTCCTGGGATTCAGGCTTAAAGCAGCTTTGGCAGGGATTCAGCCTGCATCTGAGTTTGGGGATCCTCAAGCTTGAATGGAGCTGGGGTTCATTTGTGTGCTGAGAGATCGGGGGGCCCAAACAGAATTTCTGAGCAGGAAAAGGAGAGTCAAACCTGTGGGCAGAACTTGTTCATCTGGTGGTCTGGGGTTTCTGAGGGCTCTGGAAGAAGAGGTGCTTGTGTGCTTTGTGTGTCATTAGTGGAGCTGGATCCAAGAGCTGGAGAGGGACAAGGGCCTGGAGGCACAGGACAAGGGAGAACAGCTCCCCACCTGCAGAGCTGCCCCAGCCCTGGGGATTCCAGCAGCACAAGGACCTGGAGCTGCTGCAGAGAGCCCAGAGGAGCCCCCAGAGCTGCTGCAGGGCTGGAGCCAGGCTGGGAGAGCTGGGGGGGCTCACCTGGAGAGGAGAAGGATCCAGGGAGAGCTGGGGGGGGGGGGGGGGAGAGGAGAAGGATCCAGG